ACCCAGGGCCAATTTTTTGTTTCCAAAAAACATTAAAGTCGGCACCCAGTTTGCGCTGATGTTTTCTCTTTACATTAAAAAAAAATTTTTTTTAATACACTTCCAGAGGACAGCTTCCCATCTCTACCTAGATTAGAAAATCAGTTTAGAAAAGACGGCCATTTGCAGAAAAATGGATGGAACTAGAGTTTATCATACGAAGTGAAGTCAGACAGACAAAAAAAAATACGATAGCACTTAAATGAGGAACCTAAAAAGATGACACACATGCACTCCCTAGCAAGACAGAAAAAGACTCAAAGACTTAGAAAATGAACTTATGGCTACCAAAGGGGAAAGATGGGGATGGGGAGGGATAAATTAGGAGGGTGGAATTAACATATCCACAGTAATATATATGTAAGTGATAATCAAAGGACCTACTGTCGAGCACAGGGAAATCTACTCAACACTCTGTAATACCTTATATGGGAAAAGAATCCTAAAAACAATAGATATACGTATCTGTATAACTGAATCAGGTTGCAGTACACCCAAAACAAACACAACACTGTAAATCAACTATATTCCAATATAAAATAAAAATTAAATTTCAAAAGAAAAGGAAAGAGAAGAAATGCCAACGATATTCCCTTCAGGGCTCGGTGACCTAGGCTGGTGTCACATCCCTGGAGCCAGAGCAGCCTTGGGTCCCAAGTCTAGACGTGGTGGAGGTGAGGGAACTGGGAAGCAGGTGCCAGCAAATGAGCCTCTCTTGGACCTGACAGGCGGACGACAACCTCCAGATGCAGGCGGGCCCTCCTACAGCTCAACCAAGCCTAGTGCACCCAAAGGTCGGTGGACCCTCACGCTGCATAAGCTTTGAAAAATCACCTGGTCTCCAAGTCTCCTGGTGGTGGGGTTCCCATGGGCAGCCTCCTTCCTCGGAGTCTCCCCACCTCCGCACGTCAGCAAGCTCAGCATAGCGTTTTTGGCAGGGCTTGGGAATTGTCGTGGGGGGAGCGGGGAGCGAAGGGTAAGGAGGAAGAAGTAAGGAAACACGAGCTCTGGGGTGTTTCTTCTGCCACAGTCCACTCGAATCTACGACCCAGTAACAGGACTTTCTCTAAGGCTCTGGTTGCCGGTAACCCGAGTGGTGCATGAAAAAATGCTGCCACCTTGTGGCCATTTCCCGTAACAACAACTTTAAAACCGGTCCTAGGTATCCCCCTAAGGGACACTTCATAACAAGGCCTGCGGCGCTCTAAAGCAGGGGTCCCCAGCCTTTTCGGCACCAGGGACTGGTTTCATGGAAGACAATTTTATGGCCAGGGGCGGGGATGGTCCCGGAAGTAATGCAAGCGATGGGGTGGATGGTTCCAGCGGCAATAGGAGAGATGGGGGGGATCGTTTAGTCGGTAATGCGAGCAAAGGTTCAGGTGGCAATGGGAGTGACGGGGAGCGCTGGGGAGTCGCAGATGAAGCTGCGCTAGCTCTCCCGTGTTCACCTCCTGCTGTGAGGCCTGGCTCCTAACAAGTCGAGGCCCGAGGGTTGGGAACCCCTGCTCTAAAGGACACCTGCCCTCAAGAAATGTCCTGGGGTACCTGATCGAAAAAGAATTCAAATCAGGGCGGACTTTTAAGAAACCAATTTCAAGAGGTAAATTTAATGCACACTGTTTTGTTTTTGATTTTTTTTTTTAATGCACATGAAAAGATGCTCCACATGGCTAATTATTAGAAAACCGCAAATCAAAACTAGAACAAGGAATCACCTCACACCAGTCTAAATGGCTATCATCAAAATCTACATACAAAATATGCAGGAGAGGGCATGGAGAAAAGGCAACCCTCCTAAGCTGTTTTTGGAAATGTATGTTGGTAACAGCCACAGCGGAGTACACTATGGAAGTTCGTTACAAAACGAAAGCATCATGGCCGCTGAGCCTGCGCGTCCGGAGCCTGTGCTCCGCAAAGGGAGAGGCCACAACAGTGAGAGGCCTGCGTACCGCAAAACAAACAAACAAACAAAAAACCCGAAAGCATTATCCGCAATCCCATTCATGGGCCTATATGTGGAGCAAAAAACATAATTCGAAAAGATACACGCACCCCGACGTTCACTGCAGCACTATTTATAAGGATCAAGACATGGAAGCAACCTAAATGTCCATCGACAGATTAAAGAAGATGTGGTGTAAATCCTTGTAAGTTGTAAATTATTGTAAACTATATTTCAACAATAAGAAATGAAAGAGAAAACATTTTCTGGTCAAGTAGCCGGACATTTTCATGATTTCAGTCTCAGCCAAGGTGGGTTTTTGGCAAATTTGACAGCTCCCATTAACGCTTCCACTGCCCTTCTCTGCTTCTGTAGAGGTAGGGAAGGTAAGAACCCTGTGGCAACCCTCCACAACGAGGGAGCTGTGGACAAATGCCCCGGCCTCTGGGCCTCAGTCAGGGTCCTTGCAAAAATGAGCACCAGTTGCCCACAGAGATGTCTTTCTTGGCTTTTTCTCCTTCCCTGCTCTCACAGCTGCCCCCACTGCTCCCTCCTGCTTCCTGGAAATCTCACAAATTATCCTCCTGCACCCAAGATCCTGCTTTAGGTTCTGTTTTGGAGGAACTCAAACTAAGAGAGTTCATGAGGATATTTTTTATTTTTTTATTTATTTATTTTTTTTGCGGTACGCGGGCCTCTCACTGTTGTGGCCTCTCCCGTTGCGGAGCACAGGCTCCGGATGCACAGGCTCAGCGGCCATGGCTCACGGGACCAGCCGCTCCGCAGCATGTGGGATCTTCCCGGACCGGGGCACGAACCCGTGTCCCCTGCATCGGCAGGTGGACTCTCAACCACTGCGCCACCAGGGAAGCCCCATGAGGAAATATTAAACCAGTAATAAGAATTACACCATAGAGCTTCAGAAAGCTCCCATAGATGGTGTGAAATAGAACTCATTAGTTTCCAGGACATATTCCTCCACTGTAAGCTACTTATTAGACTTCTACAATGGGCCACACACGCGCTGGGTATGTAACTGTAATAGGGAAGAACAAATCTGACTCCATATTACATCTATTTCTTTCACTTTAACCTTTGTATTCTAGTGCTTTTGCTACAAGTTAAGAATGTTGCTTGAAATATACAGGGTAGCCCATTCTCAAGGCTCTGACCTTTAAAGGTATGACACTTTTCCATTCCGATAGAGATAAAAAGTTGCAGAACAGAGAATAAGATTTGTTGCAGGTAGGGCTTCCCTGGTGGCGCAGTGGTTGAGAGTCCACCTGCCGATGCAGGGGACACGGGTTCGTGCCCAGGTCTGGGAGGATCCTGCATGCCGCAGAGCGGCTGGGCCGGTGAGCCATGGCCGCTGGGCCTGTGCGTCCGGAGCCTGTGCTCCGCAACTGGAGAGGCCACAACAGTGAGAGGCCCGCGTACCGCAAAAAAAAAAAAAAGATTAGTTGCAGGTATACTGAAACATTGTGACCTGACCTCTGGGCAGCTGCAAGAACAAAGGATTCCGATACCAAGAAGTTTGCAGCAACCAACCACACGACCTTCCCTTTTAGTATACAAGAAGCCTGAATTCTAACTTGGGTAAGACAGTTCTTTGGGAAACTATTCATTATCTTCTCCATCTGCTGGCTTTCTGAATAAAGTTGCTATTCCTTGCCCCAACAATTCGTCTCTCAATTTTTTGGCCTGCTGTGTGGCAAGCAGTACAAGCCTGGACTTGGTAACATAATGGTGAACTAGTAAATACAGTCTATACTTACGGACATTAAACAAGCGCTATGTAAATTGCATTATGGAAGTATAGGAAAATATAGGAAAGTTAGTGTCTAGGAGAAAAAATGTTTTTCCCTCTACTCTTCCGAGTTTTTCGCTGAGACACCTGTAATAAAGGATTAATGAGAGAAAAACAAGCAGAAGGTTATAAACATTTGGCTCATGTATATATGGGAGATACCCAGGGAAAAATAAATAAGTACTCAAAGAGGTGGCTTGAGAATTCAGGATTAAATACCATCTTTACAGGGATAGGGAAGGGGGCATGTACGCCTCTTAGGGGAGAGTAAATGATTTTAAAAAAAGATGAATGGCGCCGTAAAAGAACAGATGAGAGGCATGATAGCTTGTGACAAGGTTTTTGACTGGGTGTGGTGTGGACTTCTCGTTTTCTCTCCTGTGATGAATCAATCTTCCCTGGGGTTTCCCGGGGAGGGGATTTATGACAATTGAGCTCCTTCTGAAGGATGTGTTTCTAGGCAGATAAGGGCAGTTCAGAGACTACCATATTAAGTGAAATAAGCCAGGCAGAGAAAAACAATATCATATGATATCAGTTATATGTGGAATCTAAAAAAAAAAAAAAAAAAAGATACAAATCAGAAATAGACACACAGACATAGAAAATAAACTTATGGGGGCTTCCCTGGTAGCGCAGGGGTTAATAATCCGCCTGCCAATGCAGGGAACACGGGTTTGAGCCCTGGTCCGGGAAGATCCCACATGCCACGGAGCAACTAAGCCCGTGCGCCACAACTACTGAGCCTGAGCTCTAGAGCCCGTGAGCCACAACTACTGAAGCCCGTGCGCCTAGAGCCCGTGCTCCACAAGACAAGCCACCGCAATGAAGAGTAGCCCCCGCTCGCCGCAACTAGAGAAAGCCCGCGCACACAGCTACGAAGACCCAACACAGTCAAAAATAAAATAAATAAGATTAGAGAGCGGGACGTTCAGCTTGCGAGCGGGAACGTCTTAGTCGTACACGGAGAAAGAATGATTTAAAAATGGGTGATGGTGGGCTTCCCTGGTGGCGCAGTGGTTGAGAGTCCGCCTGCCGATGCAGGGGACACAGGTTCGTGCCCCGGTCCGGGAGGATCCCGCATGCCGCGGTGTGGCTGGGCCCATGAGCCATGGCTGCTGGGCCTGCGCGTCCGGAGCCTGTGCTCCGCGACGGGAGAGGCCACGGCAGTGAGAGGCCCACATACCACAAAAAAAAAAAAAAAAGGGTGATGTTGAGAAGGGAGAGAAGATTTTTGTTCAGAAGTGCGCCCAGTGCCATACTGTGGAAAAGGGAGGCAAGCACAAGACTGGGCCAAATCTCCATGGCCTGTTTGGGCGAAAGACAGGTCAGGCTGTCGGATTCTCTTACATAGATGCCAACAAGAACAAAGGCATCACCTGGGGAGAGGAGACACTGATGGAGTATTTGGAGAATCCCAAGAAGTACATCCCTGGAACAAAAACGATCTTCGCTGGCATTAAGAAGAAGGGAGAAAGGGCAGACTTGATAGCTTATCTCCAAAAAGCTACTAATGAGTAATAGTTGGCCACTGCCTTATTTATTATGAAACAAATGTCTCATGACTTTTTATGTGTACCATATTTAAATTGATCTCATACACTAGAATTCAGATCATGAATGGCTGATGTAATATTTCTGTCCTGATTTAAATAAGATTGGCTCGTGGCTAAATGAATATGGTCAGCTTTTTGAATTTTGATAGTAATTCTGGCTCAGCAAGTACTATCACTATTTTCCCCTTCTAAAGAGGAGATTAAACTTGAATAAGGAATGTTAAACTTTTCAGGGATATGGTGAATGCCTTCTCAAACCCTATAGGAGATTGGTTTTATATTTAGATTTCTATAACTGGTTATATTAATATGCTTAAATATTGAGAAGCTCCCTTCACTGTCTCATAGACCAGCAAGATTCACCTGTGTTTCAAGTTGTGTTCATTCACCTGTTAAGGCAAGGGCTGAAGATACACTGACAATGTCCACTTTACCTTTTTTGGTCTTAACTATGCCAATTTAATTAAAATTCTCCATCTAAAAAAAATAATAATAAAAAAATAAAATAAATTATTTAAGAAAATAAATTTATGGTTACCAAAGGGGAAAAGGGTGAGGGAGGGATAAATTAGGAGTTTGGGATACATACTGCAATGTATAAGACAGATAACCAGGGCTTTCCTGGTGGCGCAGTGATTAAGAATCCGCCTGCCAATGCAGGGGACAGGGGTTCGAGGCCTGGTCCAGGAGGATCCCACGTGCCGCGGAGCAAGTAAGCCTGTGAGTCTGAGAGCCACAACTGCTGAGCCCGTGTGCATAGAGCCCATGCTCCACAAGAGAGGCCACGGCAAGGAGAAGCCTGCGCACCCAACGAAGAGTAGCCCCCACTCACCGCAACTAGAGAAAGCCTGTGTGCAGCAACGAAGACCCAATGCAACCAAAAATAAAAATAAATAAAATTTAAAAAAAACCCAACAGATAACCAACAAGAATCTACGGTAAAGCACAAGGAACTATACTCAATATTTTGTAATAACCCATAAGGGAAAAGAATCTGAAAAATAAAAAATATATATATATATATGTATATATATAAATAAATAAAACTGAATCACAGTGCTACACACCTGAAACTAATACAACATTGTAAATTAACTACACTTCAATAAAATATATATATACATTTTTAAAGTGTCTATATCTCAAAATAATCAATATACCAACAAAGCAGCATATTTTGTGTGGCATGTCCAGAACTCCTAAAGTTGTAACTTTCACTAAATGCTGTCTTCTCAAAAAACTCATGCTGAATCATTTCAGACTAGGTTCAACTGGGCCTTAAAGTAGGAGTTAGCCCAAGAGTAGGCAAGGACTATTTCCTCCATGTACAAGGACTGAACAAGGAAGGTGGACATCTGAGCTATCCAACCATGTTAAAGGTTTGAGGACTTCAAAAATTATACGGTCACCAAACATCCCCCCCTTTCATTTCACATGGGTTAAATATCCCAAGAGCTGAACAAATGCTTGGACACTTTCAGGGTATTAATTCCCAAGAGGATCAAAGTTGCCTGTTAAGATTTAAACATGACCTGGAAAAGCACCCGTGCAGTCAGACAGTGCACCTGGTGGATTCTCTTCTTGTTTGACTGGGGACAGCAGAGAGCGTGGCTCTTCTACCAGGTGGCAAAAGGCACTCTAACTTGTTTCAAAGACCCACAGCATCAGGTTCACAAAGATGTCACTTTAAACTGGTTTGAAGGGCGCCTGCTTGCTGAATCCCTCAAGTAGCCTCAGAAGAATCTGATCCTTACTAAACCTTTAGGGCACACACACTCCCTGAGAATGTGAATCAGCTGAATTCTTTCTGAACACGTGCACTTTCGCACAGTGCTTTCTATGCTAAGAAAAGGCAATAAATACGTCTTTGGTGCTTCTGTGTTTATGATGGATGGGCTTTTTTCTCATAGCAGTCTTGTAAGAGTTTGCCTTATTATTCTCGCTGCATACTAATACTTGAAACATTTTAGTAAACCATGGTTCTCTGGTTCCTACTTCAGGATCATTTAACTGATTTAATGAGCTCTGTCTAATTATCGCATTTCACCTCTCACATGACAGTGCAGCAATGTTTTGGCTGAAATAGGTGGTAATAGCTCAAACACTCAGAAAGGAAAAAAAATGAGGACGGGCAATGCAGGACTCCCAACAGTTCATTTTATGCCAGATAGAATTCTTAAAGATATACGTACATAGCTGTACTACGTACACGTTCATTCATTCATTCATACATTCATTCTGTACTCATTATGTGTGCTCCAGGCATCGCAAAAGACACCAGATCAGCTTCCACGGCTCTTTCTTAGGTCTGCGTCCATTTTGAGGGGCATAAAACACGACGGTTTATAACTCTTAAGCTAGACTGTGTAGATTTACATCCCAGCCTCACCATTTCTTAGCCATATGACCTCGGGCAAGCCAATTAACCAACCTGTTTCCCCATCTGTAAAATGGGGGTTATTATCGTAGCTACCATCACAGGACTATTGGGAACATTAAATGTCAGTACATACAAAGCATGTAAAAAAAGTGCCTGGAGCATAACAGGCATTTTGTAATTGTTGCCTCCTGTGTTTCTGTCATATTGTGTCTTGTCTGTGTCGCACATGGCAATTGCAATTGCCTATCTACTTATCTATTTTTTACTAGTTATCTATTACGTATTGTTTGTCTCCTTCATCAAACCATAGGATACATAAAGACAGAGACTAAACTCCCTGAGCCTGGCATTGTGCTTGGCTTATAGTAAAACACCCAATCAAAGTTTGCTGAATCAGTGAACCAATGAATGAATGATTCTTTTTGGGGATGTGTAACCCCCTCTCACTCTTTTTTTTTTTTTTTTTTTTTTTGCGGTACGCGGGCCTCTCAC